ATCCAGGTGACGCAGCCAAAATCCGTCCCTTCTCTGTGCGGGGCGGGATGCAAACCACGGGCGGCTGCTCACGGCATCCTCCGGCGGGGCCGAGGAGCACCGGTGCTCGCTGCTTTGTACGTTTAACAGCCAGGACTCACCCAAGGTGCTGCAGAGGATGGTACGGGGCTCGTTCTTCTCACAGCAGCTGCTTTGGGTGCTGGTTTCCCCTGTTCTCCCGTGCTGCGTTACCCTCTCTTCTTGTGCGCTCTCTTGCAAACCAACCGGACGTCGCAGCGACCTTGCGCAGATCTCGGTAGCTGGTTGTCTTTTCCCACGCCCAGGCTCGCTGGAGAGGGTACAAGCAGCGCAGAACTTACCTGGAGAGGCTGCGCTACCTGCAAGCCAACGCAGATGCTGCGATAAAGGTTTGGAAGACTCTTCCTTTGCCCTTTGCTCCCACGTTGGGCATCGCTGCCCGCTTGCTCGGCAATGAGCGTGGCTTTTCCCCCTGCCCAGTAAAGAGGCAGCCGTGGGGGGAACGTGGGAGCTGGACCACGGCACGGCTGGGCAGCATGTGAGGGGATGGGGGAGCCTGGGCGGGGGGAGAATATCTTGCAAAAATCCCCGTGGTTTTCCCCCTTTCCACGCACTGGTCCTTGCAGTATCCAATTACTTGAGCATCTTTCCCAGATCCAGGCGGCTGTGAGGATGTGGCAGGCTCGGAGAAAGTACCAGGAGAGGCTGCGCTACTTCAGGCAGAACGTGAGTGATCGATGGGGAGTAAAATAGCTCCTGGGAGCGTGTCACCGTCTGTGGGGATGGAGGGGGACGATCCTGAGCGTGCGGTCGCGCCTCTGCCCCCGAGTGCTTGCGGCGCAGCCGGAGGCAGAAATTGGTGCATCCTTGCACGGGGACAGGTGGGAAGGAAAAGGTGCCTGGTGGGTCCGGAAGCCAAACTATCAGGCTCTGTACAGTGTGAGGAGAGAAAAACCACTCCAGTTCCATCAAAAACCCACAAGGACTTCAAGATGCCCATTAGACGGGAAGGAAATTTTTGGGGAAAAGGGTGCGTTGACTGCAGGATGCGAAGCTTTTTTCTGGAGTTGCTGCAGCATGTGAAATACAGCAAGCGGAGGGGAAACAACTGCTAAGGAGGGTGAAATCCTGAAATCCCTCCTGGGTTGTGGAGACCCTCATCCCGGGCATCGGCAGAATCTCAGCGATGGGAGCGGGCAGCCGGGTGCCCGTCCAGCTCTCCTCCACTCCCCGCGTGTTTCAGGGATGCTGTGGGGAAACATCCCCCACCCCCTTGTTTGTCTTGGCAGATTAAAGCTGTAATTAAAATCCAGGCTTTTGTGCGAGCTAACAAGGCCCGTGGGGATTACAGGATGCTGGGTAAGTGTCTGCTCATCTCTGCTCTGAAGTGGCTATAATTAATTGGGAAGGCGACTCTGCCTCCTCCCTTGTTGGCCCTGCGCGGTGGGGAGGCAGTGGCAGGCTGGCCAGCAGCGTCCCCGTGGCAAGCGTGAGAGTTTTTTCGCTGGTCCCTTGGCATCAGCTAGAGCCGCCCTGGGGCTGCTCCCGCTGCCCCTCTGCTCCCGAAGGCTTCCCGGGGAGGTGTCGCGCAGCGCGGGGTCCTGGTGTGGCAAGAAGATGCTTTTTTGGGGAGGAGGACGGGGGTGTCTTGGCGAGATGCTGGGGGTCCGAGGGTCCACGGTGGGGGTGGCCGCTCAGTCTTCCCCGTGGGCGTTCACGGCGGTGCCGTGCCTTGCTGCAGTCCACGCCAGGAGCCCGCCGCTGAGCATCGTCCGGCGCTTCATCCACCTGCTGGAGCAGAGCCAGCACGACTTCTGGGAGGAGTCGGAGGTGCTGCGGCTGCAGGAGGAGGTGGTGAAGAGGATCCGCGCCAGCCGGCAGCTGGAGAGCGACCTGGACCTCATGGACATCAAGATTGGGCTGCTGGTCAAGAACAGGATCACGCTGCAGGTGGGGAGTGCGGCGGGGGGGGGAGGACCTTCGACCCCTCGCGTGGCTCTGCCGCGGTGCCCAAGGCTGTTCAGCCAGCGCAGAGCTGGTCCTCACCTCCTTGGCATCGCAGCTTGAACAAGAGAAGTTCAAGGGGTTGGGGAGCATCGAGGTGCCTGACTCCCCAGAAGCTGGGCTGAGTGCCGGAGCCTGCCGGCAGTCGCCAATGCTTCTCTCTCCTTGCCCACGCGGCTCCAGGAGGTGGTCTCCCACTGCAAGAAGCTGACCAAGAAGAACAAGGAGCAGCTCTCGGAGATGATGTCCATAGACAAGCAGAAGGGGCTCAAGTCGCTCAGCAAGGAGAAGCGGCAGAAGCTGGAGGCCTACCAGCATCTCTTCTACCTGCTGCAGGTGGGGCTGGTGGGGCTCTGCCGTGCCCACCGCAGCTGGGGGAGTGGTGCAGCGACCCTGGCCCCCCGCCACCCCACGACACTTGCGCTTAGCTTGGTGTTCCTCATCCCTGCAGACGCAGCCTGTGTACTTGGCCAGGCTGATCTTCCAGATGCCTCAGAACAAGTCCACCAAGTTCATGGAGTCGGTGATCTTTACACTTTACAACTACGCATCCAACCCACGGGAGGCTTACCTGCTGCTCCAGCTCTTCAAAGCAGCACTGCAGGAGGAGATCAGGTGGGTGGCTGTGCATGCCCCAGTTTGGGGACAGGTCTGGGAAAAGGCTGAAGCAGGGCCATCAGCTAGGATGTAGTTATCTCCTCTGGCTGCTGCCTCCTGCACTGGAGAACAAGCACGCTGGTCCATCCCTTTCATCCCACCCATCCCGTCTCTCTCCCCAGGTCCAAGGTGGACCACGTCCATGATATCCTGATGGGGAACGCCACGGTCATCCGGCTGGTGGTGAGCTTCTACCGCAACGCGCGCGGGCAGAACGCCCTGCGACAGATCCTGGGTGGCCCGGTGCAGGAGGTCCTGCAGGACAAGACCCTCACTATCCGCACCAACCCTGTGGACATCTACAAGGCGTGGATCAACCAGACCGAGTCGCAGAGTGGGCAGAAAAGGTCAGGCCCTGGGTGAGAAGGCTCAGCCCGACCACAGGGCGATGGGCATTGGGATGGTGATGGGGACCTCGTCTTCCATCCACAGCAAGCTCCCGTACGAGGTCAGCCCTGAGCAGGCTCTCAGCCACCCCGAGGTCCAAAGGCGGCTGGATATTTCTATCCGCAACCTCCTCGCGATGACGGACAAGTTTGTCTCTGCCATCACCTCTTCTGTAGACAAGATCCCGTATGTATCTCGGTGGTTTGTACGCACATCCCTGCAGCGCTGGGGGCTTGAAGGCAGCTTCAGCAAGGCCTCAAAGGGAGGTTGGGTGGTGGGGGCCTTCCCGGCCCCTTAGCTGCTGCAGGACTGAGTTAGTGCACTGTCAACAAGGGGAACCCCAAATTTCAGCAGGCGCTGCCCCGGTGGGCTGGCTCTTCTTGCTACTCTGAGTGCTTTTACTACTGGTGCTGAGGTGTCTGCAATGAGCTGAGCTTTGTGGTAATCTCAGAAGAGGAAGGCTTCCTCCAGGGATGTCTGGGCTGGCAGCAGGGCCAGAGAGGGAGCTGAGGGATGCTCCTCCATCGCCCCAACGCTGGGGGTTTGCTGCTTCTTGGGTGACGGGTAGTAGGGATGGGGCAGGGTGGCCGAGCCTGGTGCTGGCCCACATGCTGACAGACCTCTCCCTGCCCTCTCATCAGCTATGGGATGCGCTACGTGGCCAAAATCCTGAGGATGTCCTTGGCTGAGAAATTCCCCAAGGCCTCGGAGGAGGAGATCGACAAGGTACCCTGGGGCTGGGGGGTCTTGCGTGGCTTGGTGGGGTCCAACCGTGTGTGTATGTGAAGGGCCAGTATCCCTCCACAGAAGCTCAAGTCCTCTTGACTTAAAACCACCTTCAAGTCAACATTTTCCTTGAGCTACTAAGGAAATGCCAGCAGTGGGCTCTTCTCTGCGCTGCTGTCCCCTCCGGGGCGAGGACCAAACAGCCTTTGCTACTGAGCTGCAACCTCCTTGGGCACCAGCCCGCGTGCTCCCAGCCTGTCTTGTGCCCTAGATCGTGGGGAACCTGCTCTACTACCGCTTCATGAACCCGGCAGTGGTGGCCCCCGACGGCTTCGACATTGTGGACATCTCGGCCGGGGGGACGCTGCATCCCGACCACCGCCGCAGCTTGGGCTCCATTGCCAAAGTGCTGCAGCACGCGGCCGCCCGCAAGGCCTTTGATGGGGAGAACGCGCATCTCTGTGGGGTGAACCAGTACCTGGAGGACACCCACAACAAGTTCAGGTGGGCACCATGATGGCATCGGGGTGGCAGGGCGGCTACGAGCCAGTGGCAGGGTTTTTGGGGCTGACCGAAGAGGTCCTTCTCCGCAGGAGGTTCATCTCTGCTGCCTGCTGCGTCCCTGAGCCAGAAGAGAGGTTTAACGTGGACGAGTACTCGGAGATGGTGGCGGTGGCCAAGCCGGTCATCTACATCACAGTGGGGGAGCTCATCAACACGCACAAGGTAAGGGCATAAAACTCCTGCAAACAAGCAGGCTTCATTCCTTCTGCTCCCACCCCCTGGGCTTTCTGCTGCATTTCATCACGCTCCTCTGTATCCCACCACCAGCACAGTTCCTCCTGGCCTTTTTCTTTTTTCTTCCCTTTTTAAGCAAGCAAATAATGCAAATTCTGCAGGTTCTCTGCCGCTTGTCCTTCCCTGAAGCTCATAACTTTGCAGTCCCCTCTCGGGTGCAAAGAACGTTGCATCGTTCCCGACTGGCCTTCACTCCCTGTTTCTTTGTGTGCTCCTTTGCCGCTGACTCTCCTCCCTTGCACCGTCCAGCTCCTGCTCGAGCACCAGGACTCCATCGCGCCGCACCATGGAGACCCCCTGCATGAGCTTCTGGAAGATCTTGATGAGATTCCTACAGTCCAGTCGCTTGTCGGTAGGTAGAGCTCCGGGGCCCGCCACCCACCCCAGCAAGAGGAGGATGGAGATGGCGATGCTTTTCTTTCATGAAGCTGGGATTGCTTTGGGCATGGGGGAGCCAGCCCTCCTGAGCCCCACGTGGCTACTCGGGCTCTCTCTGTCCTCTCAGGGGAGAGCGTTCCCAGCCCAGCGGACGGCAGTGCCGAGCAGGTGCTCTCCCAGCTCAGCAAAATGGAGATCTCCCTCACCCTCACCGGCAAGCTGGTGCCAGCGGCCAACAGTGAGGAGAGTGACACGAGGAGCTTGCTGCTGAGGTGAGGGTGGGCTCTGCGGGCTCCGGGGGAGCTTGCTGGGGGTTGGGAGGCCAGCTGGGATGATCAAAGGGGCAAGAAACCCTCGGGAGACTACTAAACAACGTGCTGCTCTGGCGGAGGAGGGTGATGGTCCGAAGCGGGCGCCTGATCTCTCCCCCTGGTCTCTAGCACCAAGCAGATGCTGGTGGATGTGATCCAGTCCCAGCCAGGAGATTCCCTCCCGGAGATCCTGTGGACACCGGCCTCGGAGCATGAGGTGGGATGCGTGAGGCTGCTGCTGGGGATGAGCTAAAAAAACTTCTTGGGGAAATGGCAAACCAGCCCTCAGCAAAAAGCTGCCCTGCTCCTCTCGAAGGCTTGGCCACTGCTCTCATGCTCCGGCAGCGGCTGGGCTCTGTTTTTCAAAGCAAGCACGTGGTTTGGGCCGGGAGAGACTCGTATTGGAGCATGTGTGCATGAGGGGGGTTTGATTGCTCCGTCTCGTGTCCCATTCCAGCCGTGCACCACGCTCACCCTCTTCTCATCCCTAGGAAGCCTCCCACGACCATCTCGTGCGCAGGCGAGCGCTGCGGGATGCCCAGACCCCTGCCAAGCTGAAACGCAACCGCTCCCTGGCTGCTAACAGCCAGCTCTCCATGGAGGAGAAGAAGCGCAAGATCATCCGCAACCTGCGGCGCTTGGAGAGCCTGGGGCTGGTGGACTCTGCCCATCAGTACCAGGAGCTTGTCGGCGAGCTGGCCAAGGTGTGCTGGGGGGCGCCGAGTCGGGCGGTCACCTCTCTAAACCCCCTTGAGATCCCGCTCTGGTGCTTCGCTAAAGCTCAGAACGAGTTATATCGGCTTTCTTAAACGGCTTCGTTTCCTCCAGGACATCCGCAACCAGAGGCGTTACCGGCAGCACCGCAAAGGGGAGCTCCTGAAGCTGAGACAGACCCTGCAGGGCCTCAACGCCAAGACCTTGTTTTACGAGGAGCAAATCGATTACTACAACCAGTACATCAAGACCTGCCTCGACAACCTGGCAGCCAGTAACAAGTACATTTCCTTTACAAAACCCCAATAATTTAAAATAAATAGCAATGAAAAAGAAAACTAACCTTTTTTTTTTTTTTTTTGCGTTGCTATCTGGATGTTGCGAGTCCCGGAGATGCTGGGGGTCCGAGGGGTCGCGTGTGGCTGGAGACCAGCTCCGAGCACGTGGTCCCTTCTCTTCAAGGGTCAGCGGGAAGAACAAGAAGCTGCAGTCGCTGCACTACACGGCGGCCCGGCTGTTCGAGAAGGGGGTGCTGCTGGAGATC